TGATAAGACTCAAATGGAAGATTTTCTAAAGTTATTTAATGATATTTATATTACGAAAAGCAGATTTTTGACAAGTTTTTTACATTTTCAGATAAAATAAACACGCACAAAACAAAAGCAAACAACAAGAACACAAAGCTGGAAAACTCACCCGATTAACCAAAATCAACTCAAAATTCTCCCACATAACAGAACCTCCTCTCTTCCTCGCTGGCTCCATATCTGTCAGTAGAAAAATCAGTGGTTTGCTATCTGTCACCATCAAAACACTCCTCAAATCCCACGAATGATTCACTTAATTATAAACCAGTGAATCAGGTACCGAAGCAGGAAGGTTCTAAATGAAGCTCGGGCGTCACTGATCACGTGACTCTGGCCAAACGAATCAAGCTTCGACACAGTGCTTCTGAAGCAGTGTGGTGATTTTTTTTTTTTTGACACACTCCCCGGAGCTTCAGCTTCAAGTGGGCCATCACTACTTCGAAGCTTCGACACACAGGACATATCACCACTCACAGGTGAATTGCAGTATCCGTGACTATTTGCGGTGCCTTTCATTGGACTGCACTTTTGAATTGGTGGGTCTCAAATTACAGCTAGGGTTTTAGTTGAACATGTACTCAAGAGGATCAGGGCCACTGGGGCAAAAAAAAAAAAAATGTGTATCGGAATTAATGGGTAAAAAAAAGTAACGTAAAAGTGAAAAAGGTATTCATCTTTTTTTTCCGGAATAGCAAAATGACTTGGCAACCAAATTTGTCCGTCTAGTTCACGTAGTCTGCCGAACCTCGTATTTTCATTTTCATTTTCTATACAAGTATTGTTTCCGTAGCAGATTTTGAAGCCCCGCCTCATGCTTCGCCGCTTTTTCAGAGAAAACGAAGTGTTCTTCACGTGGGTTTCATCCAAATGGCAGAGAAGTGGCAGCCGCAGTGTGGCGTCGAGTTAGAGCCGAATCAGTTTTACTGCTCGGTATGTCTGGACCTGCTCAAAGATCCCGTCACCATCCAGTGTGGACACACTTACTGCAGAAGCTGTATCGAGGGATGCTGGGAGCAGGAAAAGGAGAAGGGAACGTACAGCTGTCCTCAGTGTAGGGAGACCTTCAGTCCAAGGCCTGTCCTCGGGAGGAACACCATGCTGGCTGAGGTGATGTATCCACGGTGCTGCTTTTGAAAATAAATAAATAAATAAAATTACCATTTATTTGGGGTAGCAAGTTAACTAAAGTTCAAATACTCGGAGCTCAGAGAAATACTTAATGAGAAATATTTTTCTTTTTCTAAATTCTTTCTGATATTATCATTACCCAATTTCTAGTTTGTTTTCATTTACAACATTTATAAACGGGTTTTCATTAATAGTGTGGTGGTTTGCTTGGCAAGCAAAGGGTTGCTGGTTTGATTCTAGTCTGAGACACACCCCTTTGGGTTGAGTCAGGAAGGGCAACCGGTATAAAACTGCCAAATAAAAAATGCAACTTTACCCACTGTGGCGGCCCATTGTGGTAAGGGGTGACTCAAAAGTATCTCTTTCTCTCTCATATACACACCAGCTACCAACAGGCTGGACTATCTTTCTTTCTGAACTGCCTCCAGCAACACCGGCAGCAATCTTCTTCAGTAGTCTAATTTTGGTGAGCGTGTGTGAATTGTGGAGTTTTGTGTTCTTAGCTGTGGAAGTGGCTCTCAGTGTTGTCTTCTGCTGTTGCAGACCATCTGCTTAAAGGTTCAGTACAATGTACATTCAGAGATGCTCTTCTGCATATGTTGGTTTTAACGAGTGGTTATTTGAGTTACCAGTTTCTTCCTATCAGCTCGAAGTAGTCTGATCCTTCTCCTGTGAAAATGTCTGTGCATCAACAAGACATTTTTTCCTACTGAATTGCTGCTCGCTGGGTATTTTCTGTTTCTTGAATCATTCTCAGGTAAACCTTAGAGATGGTTGTGTGGGGAAAAATCAGTGTTTCTCTGAAATACTCAAGCCAGACCATGTGGCACCAACCTAAACCAGGAAAGCGCTATACAAATACGGGCCATTTAACAACCTTGCCATGTTCAAAACCAATTAAATCACCTTTCTTCAGTTTGAATTTCAGCAGGTGATCTTGACCATGTCTACATGCCTAAATGCAGTGAGTTGCTGCCATGTGTTTAGTTGATTAGATATTTGTGTTGAAACAAGCAGATGAACAGATGCACCTCATAAAGTGTCCAGTAATCATAATTTTATATTTTCTTTGGCATGTCATTAGATTTTCTTGTGGGTGT